TTATTTATTCATTTATTTATTTATTTTTATCAATTTTTACAAACGTGTAAAATCAGAAAAATCCCGGCTTCTTTGCTGTTTTTTGAAAAAATAAATAAAGAAAGAAAATAAAATAGATAAAAATAAGACAAAGATAGAAAATAAAATAAAGAAAGAAAGAAAGAAATTATGTAAAAATGTAATCGTATGTAAAACAGTGGTGGAAGAAGTACTCAGACCTTTTACTTAAATAAACCATAGTTTCAAAACACTGTCCTATGAACAAAATACATGCATTCATAATTTTACTTTAAGTACAAAGTAATTGAATATTCTATAATTATTTTTAATGATCAAATTTTACATACTTATTTAAAATCAATTCTTACAAACTTGTAACATCAGTAAATCCAGGCTTATTTCCTGTTTTGTGGAATAAAAAAACAGTGGTGGAAGAAGTACTCAGATCCTTTACTTAAAAAAAAGTCACTGTCCTATGAATAAAAGACATGAAAACACATTAGCATTCAAATATGCTTGAAGCAGTAAAAAGTAAAAGTAGGCCTACTAATTTTGCAGGATGGCCTATTTCATAAACATACACATATATTATTACTGGATTAGGGTGAAGTCAGGTGATTTGAGACACTTTTTGGTACATAAGCAAGTAAACCACCTAAACCTCTGGAGACTACCTTAAGTGTCACTTAAGTTATGGTTCTCTGCCATATTTCTATTCTAAAATCACAAGTTGCCAAGTAAAATAATTTAAAAACTTCAGATGTTCAAACACATCAAGTACTCCTGTGTTACTCTGATGACATGTACAGTACAAGTAAGAGGAGACAGCTGGTACAGTAAAATGGGACGGTCATGTCCGTTTAGATTCAGTCATTAAATCATTAATGTAACCTGTGGCTATTCATTGAAAAGATTATCAGTAAAACATGTGATGTAATGCAACATCTTAAAGTCATTTATGTTGTTATACCCTTATTATTTTGGCTGCACTCTTAGCGCCAGAAAGAGAGAGTCAACATGCCACATGACTTTCCCTGCAAGTTCTTGGGCCAGAGATTTTTTTTTTTTGACTCTTTGCTTACTTTTTCTCTCAGACCAATAAAAATGATTGTCTTATATAAAGTTTGTATTAATGCAATAACATGCTAACTGCCAATATCAAAAGAGTCCACTATGTAACAACTTATTTGTCCCACATTACCTGACTCCACTCTGTAATTACTGATGCATGCATCACTTTAATGCTGCAGCTGGTAAAAGAGGAGCTAAATTTAATTACTTGTATACAGGTGCTTAGCTTAACCCACGATTATATCTATATCTTAAATTCATTTATGTTTTGAATCGATAATCCAAATCTGTAAAGTAATTAAAGCTATCAAATAAACGTAGTGGTGGAAAAAGTGTAATATATTTCTGTGAACTGTAGTGAATTATAACACTTAAGTAGCATAAAATGTAAGCACTTAAGTGAAGTACAAGAACCTCAGAACTGTATATTTACACTCCATTAACAGAAAAACTCAGATTTTTTTTACACAGCCCTTGTGTTAATGTTTATCTTTCAGTGCTCCATTTGCTCCTCTGTCATGCTGCACTGTACCCTCTGACAATGTTGTAGTTAGTTTTGTGAAATGTACAATCTTAAATACAGTCTATTGAATCAAAAAGAGTGAAACTATTCATTCATCCATTTTCATCGGCTTATCTGTGACCAGGTTGCGGGGGCAGCAGTCTAAGCAAAGCACTTCAGACATCCCTCTCCCTAGAAACACTTTCCAGCTCCTCCTGGGGGACCCCAAGGCATTCCCAGGCCAGATGGGATATGTAATCCCTCCAGTGGGTTCTGGGTCTGCCCCGGGGCCTCCTACCAGTGGGACATGCCCAGAACACCTCTAACAGGAGGCGCCCAGGAGACATTCTGATCAGATGCTCGAGCCACCTCAACTGACCCCTTTTGACACAAAGGAGCAGCAGCTATATTACTCTGAGGCTGAGCCCAGCCACCCCAGCCTTGAGGGTAACCCTGTGGGCCCATCACCTGCAGGGACAGGAATCAGGGTCAAGTGCATTGTGTGCTGGGTGGCAGGCAGGGATGGGGCCCTGGGCGTGCTGATCCCTGGGCATTGCAGAGTGAAACTAGTCTGAAGAAATTAATGATGGTGATATAAAACTAATAACATTACAGCTTTGTCAAGATTGCAAGTTCAGCAAAAATAATACCATGTATTTGTGAGTTCAGTATACAAGTATTTTTAATCATATCACATGATCCTCATAAGTAGATGACATTTGCGCATTTGTCAGGGTGACTGTAGATTCTGAAAATTGACTGTAAATTCATAAAGTGCTGAGAAAAATGGCCTTCTCCATCGCCTCCTGGGCACTGCAGAGCTGCCCTTGAGCAAGGCACTGAACCCCCAACTGCTTAGGGTGCCTTCTTCTTCTTCTTCTTCTTCAGGTCCATGAAAAACACTGTCTATGGCCAATGTCATGATCAAAAGCTCCTGAAGGGTTACAGATGGGTTTGTTTTTCTCAACCAAGTATTATTAGCATAAGTTATATGCAGTAAACAGATTTATTGTGCAGCCAAAAATCTGGTTTACAAGTATCATAGTCTTGGATTAAGACTCTACCAGATTCTTGTACCATAACCACATAAAATCCACCTTAAGTCTACAACAGTGTCTCTAAAAATCTAAGTTTATACCTGATGTGAGAACTGCAGTAGTAGTGCGTTAGATAATGACCTACCCAATGCACGCAACAGAAGTTATGTCTGCAGATGAATAGATGGCAGCATGATATGCATCGTGAATGAACAGCAGGGGGCATCAAAGACCACACAGACTGTCTACAATTTGAAAGTGGGACCACAGTAAATTTTCCCCTCAGTGGCCTCACGTTGCTTAAAATTAGAACATGCACTCTACTTTCCATGAGGATGCTGTCCCTCAGCGCTCGTGATGACGATTTTAGGCTTTTCCAACCCACAAATGAAGGGTCAATATAATCTCAGTTAGGGATGTGCAGGTTAATCCACAGAAGCACCTAACAAAAAGATATCAAAATGAACTGCAAGTTTATGATACCTGTCCTGCACAGCAAGTACTATAAATCCTCTGTGGCACCAAACTGGAGGAAATTAGTATATCATGCACAGATTTTAATTTGCTGAAGAAAGAGGCTTATTATGAGCTCCTCGTTTCATCCCTCAGGTGCTAAATAGTATTCTTCTTCCCAGACAGTTGATGAGATCAAGGAGTCGTCTGTTCAGTGACTCTTTGTGAAGCGACTCATCTCTCTGCACGCTGCAGACACAAATAAAACCACTTAACATTTACCGTTTACTGTTCAAGTGCTGTTATGAATGCAGAAAACTGGGGCTGACTATAGCAGACTTGCTGCATATATTTCTCATAAAATCAGGACATACTTATAATGAAGATCTCTGGGTATTAGACTGGTTAATTTTACTTCTGAAGGACGGTGGCAAAACTTAAATTTGCAACAAAAAGCCAGATAATAGTCAAGAAAAGTTTATATCCACACAACAAGGGATGCAGTATATTAAGTCTTAATGTGCACAACAATATCAAAATATTTACATAAGGGGATCACTAAAGTCTTTAGGCTTCTGCATAATGGATATTCTGTTGATCTGCTGATTGTGCCAGATGGAAAGTCAGGGGATCACCAAAGTCATTAAGATACATCTTCTAGGGACCATGAATGTCTGTAGAAAGTAATATAGCAATCCATCTAATAGATGGCATATTTTAGTCTGGACCAAAGTGGTGTACCGACCAACCAAACAGACCATTTACAGTACTGTCTCCAGAAAGAGAAATGCAAACAGTTAATCCTCTTGGGAGCATGAATGTGGACAACAAACTTAAAGCTCCAGTAGGCAACATTGTTTTGGTATAAGTAAAAATGTTATATGACTCTTTGCTAAATGTTATAATATCCTCTAAGCATAATGTAAATCAAGTGGTCTGAGACAAACAATAGGTTTCTGCACCTCACCACGGCTCTGTGTTCAGCCTCTAAAGAATCAGTATCGTGCCGATGTGCATCAACCAGTCAAAGGTCAGCTCAGATCACTGCGTTCCTATTGGCTGTTCTACTGCATATGCACGTTCCCATGCCGCCGGCAGAAGGGGAGAGCAAGCGGCAATGGCGAACAGTACACCAGGTAAAATAGCTATTCCAGCATTGGCTACAACTGCCTACACGGCTAAACAACCCAAAAAAAGAAAGACAGAACTCAGTTCCCCGCAGCCCCGGAGGGAGGGGAGAGGTGAGGTGGGGCTGGGCCCGGCTGGAGGGCGCGAAGGTTGGCCGTAGGAGCGGAGCCGAGGGCTCTC